TCAGCAACCGATGTACCTCAGCCACGAGACCACCGCGGTGGGGCATCGCAAAATGGTGAACAGATCTCGGGCGCGGAGACAGCACTGATGAGCTCTTAGCAATCACATGAACACTTGAAGAGCACATTCTTGTCCACACCGTCATGTACCTTGAAAAGTCCAAATCAATAGTCACCCCGATCTAAATATGTTCTGTGTGCGAGTGAAATCTTGTGAAGGCTGTCGACAGGCGTGGCTCAAACAGACATTAAATGCACCGGCCAGCTCCTTCAGGCGAAACACGATGAATGGTTACTGGTGAGGGGAGGGGGGGGGGGTGCTTGAGCCTGATCCGCGAACATAGATAAAAAGGGTGCGTGAGCGCGCTATCTCTACAGAGATCAGCGGATGGCTCATACGTCCCTTGTCTGCGCCGTGCTTTCCTTAAATACTTGGCGTTTAACTTACACGAACCACAAAAACAAGTTCGCTCGTTGGAGCATTCGTTTTCTCTTCCGCCAGTGTTTTGTAGAATTACGCTAGAACGGATTTTGAAGTTACTTGTCTTCGTGTAACACTCCACTTTGTTGCTATGGCAATCATTGATTCGCCCTTTCCCTGAAACTTTAACTTTTTACCATTTGTATGTCATTTTTTGTCCTAAGCTAGTAAAATTTGCTACCACTCAATAATTAACCATACAGGTCAGCAAGACTACAGACTAATTACAGCAGAAATTAGTTGATTACAACAATATAGTGTATCGTGCAAGATACGTGTGTGTTGCGCTTACTGACATTTCGTACCGACTGCTGAGGTATATACCCACACCAACTGCCTGCATGGACCAGCCCCTGATATAACTAGCAGCTTCTGTATAAAAAAAAAAACACCTTCTTGCTTCAGATTACTCTTACATGGTGTCATAAGTCGGGCGACTGTTGACCTATCAAGCAGAGGCGACGCGCCAATGCGCCAGGAAAAACGAAGTTACTCAATCCGCACGACCAACTGATTCACTCAGGGTAAGGGTGTGCTGTTGTGCTGATTACTATTCGTAAGCGCTGTGCCGTGCTCCCTACTGGGCTGCAGAAATTAACGTCTTTTTCCTCCTTCTTCACGGCCACTACCACCACCTACTTACCAAGTGGTTCTGAGAGAGAAAGGAAGAGAAAAGTAAGCCCCGTAACTGTCTGCTTCAGGGAGCGACACCTCAACAGTAGCTCACAAGGGATGGGGGTAAGGAGGGATTCAAAGGATAGGAATAAAGGTGTAGAAATAGAGGGAAACAGTATGCCAGAGAGCGAGCGCGACGACATATCCAGGGGATAGGAGAGATAGGAAAGATGGAAACACGGTCACAGGAGTCCGAGAACGGGGCACTGCGCCGTGTCGCCTGTAGGCAGACAGAAATTAGGGGCCTTCTTCCTTTTCCTCACGAACCACTAACAACAACACCACTTGCGAGAGCTCTTGTCGGCGTCAGTAGATAACGTAGGGCAAGTCCAGTCGGTCAGAGCTACACTGTCGTCGAATGTCGTCGGCGTCAGGAGATGACGTAGGGCGAGCCCAGTCGGCCAGAGCTACGCTGACGTCGGAGATCGCGAGGGCACAACCGGTCGGCACGGAATCCAGTGAGCGAGTCCCCCCCCCCCCCCCCCCCCACACACCTATTCATGAACGCTGTCGAATTTAATGTCCTAGAAGTTTTGCTCCGGTATCAAACCAATCAAAGGAAGTTATCTTGGCGAAGCGCTGGACAGAAGACTCCGGAGGAACCAGGCCTTTCCTCTAGATATGCTGCATTCGAAACGCTGAACTATTGGGCTCGGCAAGGTCAATAAAATCTGGCGAGGCTCGGAGATAGGGATCAAGTGCACATGAATAGACCATTGTGGCTGCTGGTGTGTACAGATGATGATATAGCAAAACTTTGCAAAGATTGAAGATCCCCGCCTTTGCTCACGGGGCAATGGTAAAAGAATGCTTAAAAAAAAGGCAGACATTCTCGAGTTAGTGAATCCAGAAAAATGGCAGGGGGGGGGGGGGCATATCGTACCATGGTGGTCATTTATTCAATTTTATCAAAATCTTATTAGCAATTCGAGAAAAAAGTAACAAGAATGAGCATTATTACATTTAAAAGTAACATGACCGTAGTTGGTCTATTGGATTTATACTTCATTCTCATTGACTTTCGCCAAATATTGAACATAAATAAATAAATGTAACAGTTTCGAAACTCTCTTAACTTGCATGTTAGATCACTGCATATTAAAACATTTGAGGCGCGGCAACCCGTAGTATTTCAAGAAACTAGCTTTCAGTTCTGTACTCCGTGTCTCTTCAAAGGCAACAGGGCAACAGAATTCAGCGTACCGGTAGCTGTGCTACACTTAACTCTAAAGCAAATTGGATGCGATGTTTTAAAGAAGACAAATCACGGGAGACTGGGGGGGGGGGGGGGGGGGGCTCTTGCAAGCGGTCTCAGTCTGAACACAAGAGAAGTCTGGACCCTCCGACTCCCCCCCCCCCCCCCCCCCCACACACACACTCACACACCCTCGATTTAAGGCAGTGACCAAAGTCACCACGCTTGCCGCGAAAAAATGCACAAAGAGAAAATTTGAGCGGCGAAGCCAGCTTAAAATTCTCGCATCGATCACAGTGACGTCATAGACTTTAACGGCGCCTACTAGGTCCTACACTCAAAGAGAAACAGGAAGTATTCGGGGAGTAATGCTACACAACAGTACTCATCATCCGGCTTGCTTGCGCTTCGTTTCTTGAAAGCCCAGCGATGGCTACTTTCCTGTCGCGAATGCTCATATAAAGCGCGCGCTGTTCGTGACCGTGAACTACCGGAACCGTGGTGATAACGCGAGGAAAGTACGCGGAGTAGATGACAATGAATGTGGTGTGGCCGAAACACTCCCCCAATGCTCGATTTTTTAGAGTGTACACTCAAAGAAAATATCGAGTAAAAAGGACGTGCACAGCAATAATCACCCATCTTGCGTTCCCTTCCTTGCACTATCGCCCCGTTCCCGGCACTTCCAGGTCACCAGCGACATGCACATTATCAGCGTGACATAGCCTTCTTGATAGGAAAGGGGCCAGCGCCCAGTTTTCGAGAAACGAAGCGCCAGCAAGCCGGATGATGATTATTGTTTTGGGACAAAAAGACACCCTTCTTACTTGATCTTTTTTTGAGCGCATGTTGTCCCTAATCGATAAAAATGAAGTACATTGTCCTCTGAAGGGGTCGAAGACTTACTATAATACCAAGTTTTAGGAAATTATGTAGAGTCAATGTGGCCAAATTATGAAAAAGATACGCTTTGAAATCTGGGACGTCATGGCCCGACATTTGAGAAATGGGATCGACTTTTATCAAATCTATTATGCGCTTAATCGAAAAAAAAAACATGAATTTCATTGTCTAGGACAATGAAATCTTTGCTCTTTACAATAGGTTCAAGTTTATAACCAGTTTTATTGTAACTTGCATAGTTTTAGTTTTGTACCATGGCAATATGTGTGAGATATAGCCTTTTTGTAAACACTTCTTCTGTACCTAAACTTTTATGCTTATGAACTAGCTTATACTCATTAAATTGAACTCTAATCAGGTGTAGTTCGATTTATCAGGCGGCTGTCAGAATGAACAAACACCGCAATAGACTCCGCGGGAAGAACCCAAAGAAGCTTCCATTGGAGTCGTTATCGTATACTAGGCGTTTTTACACGTTTGCGGCACGTCATTTCTTAAATCTAGTTAAGGAACGTATAAAAGCGAACACATTTAGTTGATCAATCAGTGAAATGCCAGAAACAAGCATCGACATGCATTCATGTGAGCAGCGAACATTGATGTAAAATATCTCAGTCAACCCGTTGAAGTCACTGAAACGCAGTCTAAGCACGAATCGGTCACTTTGCGTTTGCAGATATCGTCTGAGGGATTGTTCTACAAATGAGCCTTCCTCAGTGCACTGAGTGTATGTAAACCGAGAAGTGGCATGACTAGTGCCCCAATAGTAATTCATCTTCTTGAACTTGCGAAAGCGTCAGGTCGCTTTTCCAACGCTGCTTTCGTTGCAAACGTTAAATGGTACGGACTTTAGTATGCTTCATTGATAACAAGAACTGTAGAACTAAGTACAGCTTTTTTGTACATTCCTTTCTTTCTTCTTTTTAGGCCGGCAATTGTTGACATAGGCCAGTATTCACAAACCAACCTTGACCTTACCTCGAGTTTTCCTCAAGCTTCTGTACCCTCTCCATGCGTTCTAAACGCACAAAAATGTTTACAAGGTAAAATATTAGAACAAGATTGGTTCATGAATACTGCCCTACTTTGTACATCATGCGCAATAAAGGCTTACAACCGAGATGAAAAAAACTTAAGGTAAGACAGAGGATGGTTTGTGGATATGGGCCATAATCACGGTTTGTGTCGGTGTACGAAGGGCTTATTTACATTCACATTAGAAAAAAAAATAAGTAGCATTATTTCTTTCACATTTAGTGAAATAAAAAAAATGAACTTCCATGCTAGCTAACACTCGCCCCTCCTTCCAAGCTGACTCTGCCCCTTGCCACCCTCTTCCAACCTCGTTTTAGAGATGGTGATAACCATGGTTGTAACGACTTGGAGTACCTATTCAGAAGTTAAAAAAAAATAGTTCTGAGCATGTTAGGTTCCGAGATTGCGACGTCGGTGTCATACTCGCGAGGAACCAAGCATCGTCCACTCTGCTTCTCTGAAGGATGGCGAGGGGAGAGAGGCGAGAAGGAGCGCATACAAGCGCCGCATGCGCAGGCTGCACACAGCTACACAGCCCCCACACAGAACACCTATCATGGAGGAAGGAAAATATTTCTCCATGGCCCCCACTCAGCAGGCGCGGGGCCGTGCTCCCTACCGGGCGCCTTCTTTTAACCACCACCACCACCACCACCACCACCACCACCACCACCACCACCACCACCACCGTTGAGCGCCTGCGTTACCTTACCTGTTGTGCTCTTCTTTGTGGGCTCCGTACCTGCGCACGCCTGCACTATCGCTCAGTTGCCATTTGTACCCACACGGCCATCAAGAAAGGAAAATAAAGTCATCGCAGCTTGGATGGCGCTGTTTTCCGTTATCAACGACGTGTTACAGTAGCCAGAAAATACTACGTAATTCAGGTATCACCTTGACAGCATGGTGAGTGAACAAACGCCTATAATGTAACAGTAACAAATACAAAAAAACAAACAAGAACAGAACAACAGCCTCAGATACGCATTCGTAGCAACGTTTGACGTTTCTGGGGAAGAAGAGAAATGGAAAATGCCCTAGGCTGCACCCGTCGTGGCTAGCACCGAGGCTAGACCTGTCGTGTTTTCGGTAACGAAAGAAGGCATCCGTAATTGGGCCGCTGCATACGCCTAACCTAACCGGACGATATCTATGGGCACGCGATTTGCGTTCGCAAAATAACAAGGCGTCTAAAAACACGTCTTCACAAAGCTCCCTATCACTGGAAACATCTACGACATATAGGGAACACTGGTGAATATATAGTGTCGTTCAATGATGGGCTCATCGACTTCCAGAACGCTGATTCGGGCATTGAAGACGAGTGAAAGAGGCATATTTAAAAGCAATACTTCCGTTACACTGAAACAATAAATGTTGCCTATCGTTTGCACTGTGGCGCACGAGCCTTAGAGGTCAGAAAAACAAGAGATGAGGGGAGATTTGAACTGAATAGGGAGTTTTATGGAGTTTGGGCATAGTATGGGGACATCCGAGCGATGAAAGACGTTGCAAACACGCAATTGCACCATTCGCTGCGTAGTCGTGGAGCTGGTAAGTTGTGTTCCTGTGGAGAGCTTACTTTCTTCCTTTACGAGTAGAACCTGTTTCCACTGAAACGCCAGGCTCGTCGCGGTAATGTTTAGTGAGCATGCAATGAACTGCACCTGTTTAGTTCTACCGTCGCGCTGTAGGATTTCGTTTGCGGGCCGTTGCATTGATCGACAGTTAGTAGGTTCAAAATGGCGTCGTCTTTTGTCGGTCGACAAGGGAGAGGAATAGCAGAAGCAAGGTTGTTTAGACGTGTGCACCCGAATGCAATTTTCGCGCTTAAATTCTTGTGATGTATGGAGTGTGATGTATGGAGTAAATGTGCGTGTTGCCTAAAGACAAAAGGAAAGTTTGTTCTCAATAAAATGATGTCAATATATTACGAGTCAACGCAAGCGTCTTCTGGACAACATCGACGAGTGGCGTCAGTTGGAGTGGCTCATTGTTGACTGCCGATGGTTAGCACAGGTGTCAGCGTTTACAAATTTAGTGCCAAATGAAAGCGTTGCGCTTGTAGCAGAAATAGATAGAGAAGAAAGCCGCGTACCCTATAAAGGTGGCAAATAAATTTGACCTGATAATCATTGGGAAGATGTCTGCTTTTTGTAAATGGTTGTTAGGCCTAAACACTTGTTTGGCGCCATGCCTCCTCCATGGCGTCATAACTGTCTGTGGAGTTGACAGGTCTTGCGTTCCCGTTTTGGAAAACCAATAGAGGGTTCTAGTGACGTCATTTCTGTTACGTAGTTGTGAATGAGAAATGGTTTGCTATAAGAACTAATTGTCAGGCACGTATAGCAACCGGATTAAAGCGGCCCTCAGCTTTTGTTGTAGTCAAGCGGGCTCCTTGTGGCTTTTGCGACGAACAATATAATTCGTCGTGTCATTAGCGAAATTTAGAATAGTGTTAGCAGACGTAGCGGGCGCCATATGAGTTTTAGACTAGCGTTTGCCCTCCCCGCAAACCCAAATGCCCGATCACAGCTACACCGTAGCCTCGACACCAGCGCTTCGCAGGCGGCAAGCAATTAGAATTCCCTGCGGGCGGACCGCAAGCGCGAATGGTGGTTCGTGTTATGACGCATGCGCAGTGGCAGCGACCACACCGCAAGGGCTTACGGGGTGCTATTCTAAAACTCTCTTATTGTCCTGTACTAAGGCGTGTGTATGAACGCTATTATGCGGGGTTTTATGGTGTATTGCAACAAACAGTATTCGTTAGGGCAACAATATTGTGCCTCAGGGAGGTTGTGGTAGATGTGGTGTTGTTTATCTGCCAGAAAAATTACTCGACTTACGATGACGAAAAAGCAAATGACTGTTACGGCCGCTGGTTAGCAATTGTTGACAATTATGTTCTTGGGTGTATGTTCTTGCATTTACCTATTGAATTAAATCCACGCATCTCCGTGAAGAATGATGACTAGTGGGCATAACTCTCGGTATCGTATTGTTGAGAAACCGTGCGTTGCCCCATATGATGTAAATTGAACGAGATAAAGTATATATAAAATGTTAATTTATTCTGCCTTCCAGTCGTCTTAGGCGAATTAGGAGAATTCAGAAAATTGCTGGAGTGGAGGATATGGCTTGAACCATCTTACTGGTGGCAAGATACCATTTTAAAATGAGAAGCTTGTTGGGACACATAGTGCTCTTTGTTTGTCTTTGTGTTGCAGGTTTCCTTGAAAAGCCTTAACACCCAGGAATAATTTTAGTAAAAATCCACTCATCCGGATAGGTTATTTTCGCCGGGAACAGTAATCTCTTATATTATTAGCCTATGTCTATGTTGAAGTCTATTGTAAAACCCTTTACAATATAGAGTTTTCGCCCTTATTAGAAAGTCAATGAAAAAATTATTTCACAAATTTTCTTGAATTGTGGGTGCTAATTAAGCACAGGCGAAGAAGGTATGAAATGTGTGTATGTGATGTCATAAACCGAGTCCACAAGAAGTAAGCTGTCAGTATCATTCTTAAATAAAATTTTGGATGAATGTACAGGGATGGTGATTTATTCTTTGTCGTTCTTTTTCAGATTCCCATGCCATTTGGCAATTTGGCAAAACGGGCTTTGGGTGATGCGTGCATAAAGAGTTTCTTAATGACAAAAAAAAAAATCAACAAGGAGGAAACCGTCATTGTGCTGATAACTGCTTGGGTAGTTAAGTGTGCACTGATACAATGTGCCAAAAGGAGGTCGATTATCGTAGTCACTTTTCATTCGCGCAACCACGGCAAATCAATCACTGTTCATGCTGATCCCCACCACGCCTGCAAGTAGTGACCTCCACCATCAGCAACTGGGAAATGCACTCTTTCCGTATAATAAGATGTCAGAAGGCAACAGCGCTGCAGGCAGCAATGATGTATCAAGCAACTCACCTTGTATCCGCAACAATGCATCAAGCAGCTGATCAGTGGCAGCGATGGCGGCGGAAGAATGCTAAGCTGACGGTGCGCGTTTCAATCATCACCAAAAAGAAACGTTCTTGTGCGCTAGTGTTGGTGAAGTGTGCGTGCGGGTGTTTTTTTAAAATCTTCGTAGTGTATGTATGTGTGCGTGTCATCGTGTTTGTGGCGAAACGTCGGGTGAGGTGGGCCATTGTCGCGACTGGTGTGTGATGATTTTGTACAAGCTTTGCAGCTGTGTGCGTGTCCCGGTGCGGTGAAGTGAATGGCTGGTGCTCGCAGGTGATGCGAATGTGGTTATTTGCTGCAGTCACGTGACCGCAGCAGTGTTGTGCATCGGTTTGGTTCATCAAGATTGTCAAGTGACTGACCTTCAACGTTTGAAGGTCACGTGATGTGAAATAGCGTGGCGATTTCGCATTGCGACGTGGCTGCAAAAGTGCAGTGATGTGCGTTTGTTTGGTTCGTTATGAAGTGGTTTCAGATTATGTGCGCGAGGTGTGAATTGGTGCGGTGATTGATGCCTTGTGATGGGAGTTGGTTTAGTATGCTATGAAGTGGCTTCGGGATGAACGTCTGGTGAAGTGAATTCATGTGGTGATTTCGTGCTCTCATGTGGCTGCGAAAGCACCGTGAGGTTACGTGCGTGAGTGTGGTGCATCACTTGTGTTGAGCGCCTTCAGGCAAAGAGCCGAGTGACGTGAACCACTCGGTTGTGTGGCTGTGGAAGCGGTGATGTGCACGATAGTGTGGTGGTGGTGAATCAGTGTCATCGTGGCGTCTTCACGTGATTTGAATTGGTGGGGTGACATCACCTCGTGTAATTGTGGGCAGCCGTGATGTGAAGTGCTTCTGCTACAAAATTTATGTGAAACAGATGTGGAAGGGAATCATAGTGAGTGACTTAAAGGGGTTGAGGCCAACTGTGTAAGAAAAGGAAAGAAGTGGACCGTCGGGGAAGTGTGGTGACCGGCTGATCTTCGCCACTGCGACGTGTACAAAGCTTCCCTTGTGTGAGCTGCTACAGTTGGTGAAGTGTAGTAATACAAAAGGTAGTGTGCAGTGGTGTGCAAGTGAGTGTGAGGTGCTTCATGAAAGAGTTGAGTGCTAAATCACGCGCCCAGGCTTTGAGCAAACTTAGAAAACGTGTTGTGGTGTGAGTGGTCTCTCTGGGAAACAGAAGCAATGGCTTGCGCTGAGCACGTGCTCGCAACGTGAGTGGCTACCTACAATAAGCCAGTGTGCATGTGAGGTTCAGAGCTGTGAAGCGTGTGCGTCGTCAACGTTGTGTCTGCATAGTATTTCGAGCGTACCGGGGATACGTATTTTCGACACGCGCACAAAGCAACAGTGAAGACGTGGTGAAACGTGCAGTGCGTGAGGTGCATTCGTGGTGTTGGCACGTGTGTGGATGTGTGTGTGTTGTGCAGAATGTGGCGGTTATGTGGAAGTGTGGTGAAAGTGAATCCGTGAAAAGTGCTGCTTGTGAGCTGAATTTAGTGTAGACCAGCTCTTGAAAAGAAGGGCAGGTGTGAGCGAGTGCCCGCGAGATTGATGGCGAGTGTTGTCTGTTCACAGCCTAGACAAATGAAAACCAAGCTGGACGTGGGGCAGTTTATGGTGTGCTTCAAGCTGCTGTGGTGCTGAAGAGGATAGGTGGGCAGTGCCTGAAGTGCTGTGAAAAGGGTCGTACAAGCAGTGGAACTGAAAGAACATTAATTGAAAGTTAGCACTCCGTTCCTTTTAAGCATGTGCGTTTGACGGCTTCGTGCGGTGGCGGAAAAAATCGTGTGGAACCGACAGTGGACGTACTCGTATGATTTTTTTTTCAGCTGCAACAAAGGTGAGTGATAGGGGAAGTAGAAGGTAGAGTGCCAATAAAAGATTTCTGCGTACAAACAGTGCAATGTCTGACTTTTGCATCAAGAGTACGTGCGCTGCACTGGAAGTGGTAAGGAGGGTAAGTGCCGATGAAAATATTTTGTACGATTTCCTGTGGTTTCAAAAGATTAGCTCAGTGCTGAACCGCACCATTTACGTTTACTAACGCCGGGGCTACAAGGCACACGCATTAAATACACTTGACGAATGAACTTCGAACAGTGCATGTGCCCGGCCATTTTGTTTTCTGAATGGCGACTTTTAAGGGCCCGAGCAGCGCTTTTACACTGAAGATTACGGTCTGAGGCAGTGAACAGATTCGATAAAAGTGGATATTATTATTTTTTTATTTACGTATACTGCAGGCCTAGTGCAAGGCTATAACAGGAGTGGATAAATTATACAGAAATAATGCATCAGAGGAAAACAATAACGAGTACATTACAACAATGCGAAAGAAACCGTCGAACAAGCACGGTGTGAACTTTAAAAAAAGTGAGCCTTAAATGCTCGTAGAATTCATAGTGGAACGCAAAACAATGCAGAGTTATGATGCACAGTCTAGAATTGCCGTTCTGTGCTATCAGATTGAATGGGCCGTATGCTTATGCACGATATTTGTGTGTACGTATCATCCGCACCTTTCTGATGAATACTTCAGACGGATTTGTCTACTTGGATACTGGACAGCTGTAATGTATCGGGTTGGGTTTTTTCGTGGAACTTGCGTGATGATGGACGGAAGGACTGATAAGTTTAATTATAAAATGTGATGCTTGCCGCAGACGACTTCAGGTAACTTCGCATTGTTTAAAGCATTTCGCTATAATGCTCAAAACCTTGGCGTCGGTGCCGGTTTGTTTTATATGCATACGTGAGTTTCAGTACCAATTCAGCACTCTTACAAATCAAACACCAGATAAGACAATTTGATATTCAATTTTTTAGAATATTTGATTATGGTTCAATACACGGGCTGACAATTTCGTCAGCCAGATAGTGAAAAAGGGGACTATGCACTCCCGGAGTCCACTTATAATTCAACAGTGGTTAGTTTTTGCTTGCACATTGACGGGCTGACAAGTGAGCGAGCTTTCAGTTGACATTATGCATGCGAGAAAAAATTACTTACAGATTTACTGTGAAATTTTCCCACGTTAAGAAGCATGTAAGTAGATAAGGCTTCACACGCGAAACATGTACCTTCAAATATCTTTGAACTCGTTAATATTGTGCGACTTGGCCCTTACATCTGATATCGACTTACACTGACTACGTTTACAAGCGCTTTTGATTGATTGATTTGTGGGGTTTAACGTCCCAAAACCACCATATGATTATGAGAGACGCCGTAGTAGAGGGCTCCGGAAATTTTGACCACCTGGGGTTCTTTAACGTGCACGCAAATCTGAGTACACGGGCCTACAACATCTCCGCCTCCATCGGAAATGCAGCCGCCACAGCCGGGATTTGATTTCACGACCTGCGGGTCAGCAGCCGAGTACCTTAGCCACTAGACCACCGGGGCGGGGCCAAACGCTTTTCCGTGTGTCAGGAAGACATAGACAGTTTGACAATTTACAATCGTGCGTTAATTACTCTCATTGTCACTCACGCCTACGCGCATTCAACCTATGCGAAAGTAAGTGCTGCTTCGCCACTTCTGGACTGAGGAGCGGAAATTTCCCCAAAGCGATTGCAGCGCCTATTGCACCTGAGCACGGAGCAATCATGTAGGTGCTCGTTTTTACTAGTGCTGTCATTTATTCTAGAAAGCGGTGGCTCCGTTCAAGAACGAGCACTATCAAGTACAACTGACCACGTTCAGTGCAAGAGCGCTTTTAGTGCAATAATGACGTTGTTCTGGTGCACAATTTGAATATATTTTTAGTTAGTATGTTTCACGCTAGAATATATCTTGGCGTTGCAATCGCTGCTCGAGTGGTCTGAATGCTACCCAAGCGCCATCCCCTCTTCCTGCGAATATTTCTTTCCATTAAAACAATTCTATAGAACAACTCAGCACTGGAGTGGCCACGCAAAATTATGTAGGTGTTATTTTGTATTGGATGCATTAATTCAAAGCGAACTGATCACCTAGTTTTTGCAATTTTTTTCATTCACCGGAAAACGCGGCGCTTTAGTCGTCGTCAGTAGTGTTCAGCCATAACAGAAATCGACCCTCCATCCAGACGGAGAATGGAGCAAAACCTTCCCTGAAACGATACCAGCGCTCTTAAACCTAGGGCATTTTATTGAAACTAAACAAGTTGAGCAAGTGCTTGCAATTATTACAAAAAATGACGTTTTACTGTAGTTTTGTCAACTTTTAGTAGAACTGACCGCATTTGTGCGCCAGTGCACTTCGAGAACGACAATAGTGCAGACAACGTGTAAAAATCGAATTACTTTTTGGTTTGAATAAGTTTTAGTAGAGCATGGTGGAGCTTTATAAATGGTACGGCTGTGATTTGACCGAATGCTATGGTGGCGCCTCGCTTAAGTATCTGGCGTCCCCGATGTGAGCCACTGTTTTAGCGATCTGGATGTAGTAGAATCATATAAAACGAATCGGCTGTATGTAAAAGGAGGTGTAGTGCAAGTCAGAGTGGTGCTTAAGAGTTATAACCTAAATGGATAGCTGGTAAACAATTACGGTGACCAGGTCACTTCGCGTACACTTCACGAGTTTTCCGTGCTTTTGAAGGTGTGGTCGTTGTGGCGCTGCGTGTGCTTCTGCCGCCTTTGTCGCGCCGTAGCTATGAAACTTTTCGAGTGTGTAATTGTGGTTCTCCTGCTTGAAATTTTTGAGCACTATTGTCTTTGTAAGCTGACATTTGCCGTTTAGAATCACCTGTTGTGATTATGGTGTACATTACACCGGTAAATTTGTGTTATACACTTGTACGTACGTATTAGACGCTTGAGTATAATGCACACGTTACTAAAATCGATGTAAAATGCGTGTGATGGATGGTGTAATGACATTCGCAGTACCGACTGGTATACCCGTAGCGTGCCAGAGCAACATGGGCGTCAGCTGTTTGTTAAACAACGCTTATAAAAAAGAGCTTCAGATAAATGCTGAATGCGCGAATTTGATATATTAAATGTTCTAGAGATAATGAGTACCCTAGGGACATTGATGGGGACATTTTCGAGTTGAAGGCATCGACGAAATCTTAAATTAAAGGAGCACGGGGATAAAAGCAGTCGTGAACCGTCAACCTATAGCGCATCAGGGACAACAGTGCTTCATTCTCGTGTGCCACCGTCAGAAATGCTGACGCGTGAAGCCGATGGTTAAAGCCACGGACGGACGCTCATTTTGCCACGGCGTGTGCCACGTGCATGTTTTTTTTTTCTCTCAGTACGATGTTGTAGTGAATGAGAACACGTCACGTGGTTTTATTCTATAATTCGCGGGATTTCTCGATACGCCAGAAAAAGTCACATGCGCGTTGCCCCCCCCCCCCCCACACACACACACATAAAATAAAATAACTGCAGACCTGGGGAGAATTTCATTAATTCGCAGATAATACTCGAGGCTGCTTTTCCGAAATATCAAAGCGGCAATCGATTTTTCTCATGAAGGACTTCAATTCTCTTTTTTGACTTAACTGCCTAACTCCACTAATTGAAAAGTTATTTATTTGAACTTTGCTAATTACCGTTACAAATAACATCTTCAACCCTCTTAAGATGACTGCCCACCTGCATAACACCTCAGGTTTATGTTAAGAACTTCAGCTACCACAAGGGCTAAAGTGACCTTTGGAGTTAGTCGTCGGGACTAAGATGTTCCAGATTGATTGATTGATTGATTGATTTGTGGGGTTTAACGTCCCAAAACCACCATATGATTATGAGAGACGCCGTAGCGGAGGGCTCCGGAAATTTTGACCACCTGGGGTTCTTTAACGTGCACCCAAATCTGAGCACACGGGCCTACAACATTTCCGCCTCCATCGGAAATGCAGCCGCCGCAGCCGGGATTTGAACCCGCGACCTGCGGGTCAGCAGCCGAGTACCTTAGCCACTAGACCACCGCGGCGGGGCTAAGATGTTCCAGTGAGCGTCAACATGGGTGCATACCCGTGAAACGATGCTATAGCTGCCAAACGCCTGTGGACATTGCGTGAACTCTCATAAATCAATGTGAAATAAACAATCAACTATACTGCTGCGAAGACACTCCTGCGCGAAGTTCACTTGTAGTGTTATAACGATTTCTATATGACGGAGGGATCAACCATGCTTTTTTCTTATATTTTCCTTAATCTATGTTACTTTTGCACTGTTTTCAAGATATTCAAGCACGTTTTGTTAATGCCAATACGTGTACAGGGCTCAACTCACATGTCTATAACGACGGAGCTTCGTGTGCGGAGCAGTACGAGTGACTTCTGCAGTCGAAAATACGCCACATTTGAGCAAGCGTGCAGCCAGTGATGTGCCTGCCTTGCAATATTGATCCCTGTTTATCACCGTGGATGCAACAACCGCTTTGGCCGTTGAAAGGGCTTTGAACGATTTAGCGAAAAAACAAAAAGCAAGAAAGAAAGACGGACTAATATCATTGTTGCTGTGATATGATATCACGAAGCGAGAATATACAAGGCGCCTAACCGGACACTGTCCAGCAATGATTGCTGGTTTCTTTTTTTATTATTTTTGTTCTATAACGCTGACAGCGCTTCGACGGCTAAAGCAGTCATCGCGGCCGCGGAGATAAAGAAGGGTAGAAATTGCAGGGCAGGCACATCATTGGCGCCTCGCATGCTCAAATGAGGCGTATTTGCGACTGCAGATGTCGCTCATGCTGTTCCGTGCGCGATGCTCAGTCGTTATAGACATGTGAGTTGAGCACTGCACGTTAGTAAGCAAAAGTGGACCACGGAAGTACTTGCCGAAATCGCTGTCTGCACTGTCCTTTGGTGAGCCATCGGCTGTCGAGATCGTTGCTATGACGGAATAGGTGGCGAGAGCATTACCATGATGCATTTTTTTCTGAG